CTTGCAGAGGTCATAACTATAGTGGTTGAAGAAAATGGGTCGATTATATGATTTCTATGGGGAGCAAAGACCTATGGTCTATTGAAAGTCTGATGGCCAGCCTCTGTTTTATCTTGGGATTGCAATGTTCATTCCATAAATTCACTATCTAAACGTCACTCAAGGACCCCTGTATGTGAACGATGCAATTCTCAGCTTGTAGCAGTCTGGTGTATTGAAGAGGATATCTCTCTCTGTCAAAACTGCAACTGGTCTTCGTACTGCCCCTGCCTCAGCTTCAGCCCATAAAAACAGTCCATCAATTGTTATTCTGGATGCCCTTGTGCATCCCAGCTTTCAAGTATTTGGTCATTCTTTTCATCGAATTATTCAAGCTGCAATCCTGAAGTTTGGAAAAGGAAGAACATACCCTATATTATCGTCCATTGCCTCCAATGGATGACAGCGTAAAAGAGGCTGCAATGGATCCTATGGCTTCTGATGTTGACAAGTTTGGTGGAAAGAGATCCTTGAACTCTCTCAATGAGAAGGTAAAGCTAATTTGAAATTTTGCGTTGTTCAACTGGTTTCAACAAATCAGTGCTTATCCAATTAATTGAGGTTGAATGGCTTAAACATTATTGGTCGACAGTGATGGCCTAGAATTATTTCCCCCATAGTGTCGTGCATACATGATCACCATCTCAATTCTTTACCATCTGAGAAAAGATATATATTTTTGTACGAAATTGTGAACTACTTCATTCTTCTTGTGTAAAAGTTGCAAAAGTACGAAATTTCTAGTACTAACTGAATTACATAGACCAGTAGTATTACTTTTCTGTGCTTTTTTTTTCCCCCCACAAATCTTCTGGTCTGAACTTATCCTACAATAGGTCAAGTTCCTCTGCTTTTATGCTACTTGTGGCTGTCGTTGGTTGACATGGGGAATGACTGGAAGGTATCTAACTACCCATATTCTAATTTCTACCATGTTCTTAATTCTTTTCATCCCCCATGGTGGAAAATTTAACAAGCAGACTTGTACAAGAAAGCACCATATTCCAAATTAAAAAATAATTGGCAAAACACAGAATCTCATCCAGCATCTAAAGTTTGCCTTTTTAATTGGAATATTTGCTGCTTAACTTTCTGAAGTTTCTAAAGTTAAACTTCGTGTTTGAATAGAAATATTGCCTAGCAGTCTTCGACTTAGAGAAGAGCTAGTTGGTCTCATTATCAAGGGCGGAGCTAGAAAGATATGTTAGGGTGGGTTAAAATTTAATTTATTTTTTTTCAAATGAACTTATACCATAAAAAATGCTCTATACCACACGAGATTTAGTTTAAAAAGTTAAATTCATGACACTCACAATAATGTGGGTCAAAATATATTTCTGGACTCCCATAACAAAGTTCTAACAAATATA